CAAAAAAAATCAGTTTTTTCTAAAAATAAAATAAAAATTGATTTTTCTGAAAATAAAAAAGTCAATTTTTTTCAAAAAATCAACTTTTCCCAAAATTGAAAAGTCAATTTTTTCAAAAAAAAAATCATTTTTTTACGAAAATAAAATAAATCGATTTTTTCCGAAAATTAAAAAAAATTGATTTTTTTTTATAAAAAAAGTCAATTTTTTCAAAAATCAAATAAAATAAAATAATTTCAAAAATTAAAATTCTAATTTTTGGTGAAAATAAAAAAAAAGTCGATTTTTCCGTAAAAAAATGATTTTTCTCGAAAAATAAAAAAGTTGTTTTTTGACAAAAAAATTAAAATTTTGATTTTTAAAAATAAAATAAAATTGATTATTTTCGAAAAACAAAGATGTCAATTTTTTACGGAAATAAAAATATGTTAATTTTTTCGGAAAAAAATAGATTTAACAAAATCAAGTATAACCCTTCGATTATTTAACAAATGATTCGGTTTTGAAAAAAAAATTGTTTTATAATGGTTTGGTATAGTTCGAAATTTCAAACCGTTGTACCAAACCAAAATTTTGGTTCAGTTCGATTCTAAAAAAAATAAAACGGTTTGGTTCAGTTCAGATGACCTTATACAATAGTTTAGTTCGGTTCGATTTAGTTTTTTAAGAGAACCGTACTATAAACAACCTTATTCATTACTATCTGATTGGGACCTTCTAGAATACTGTATACGTCAGTCCTATCACATAATCGATTGTATAATGTGATCATTATAGCACCTCTAGTGGCACAGAAAAGAGATATAAAAAGATATAATTTATTAGATAAGTTAAAAATTAGAAATAAAAATTCAAATATATATATATATATATATATATATATATATATATATATATATATATATATATATATATATATATATATATATATATATATATATATATATATATATATATATATATATATATATATATATATATATATATATATATATATATATATATATATATATATATATATATATATATATATATATATATATATATATATATATATATATATATATAATTTGAAAAATATGAGAAAACCATAATTGAAAAAATTGAGAGAATATGCGTATTTAGTAAAATGTGAAAAATTAAAATAATTGTGCCATTTTTAAAAAAAATGCGGGAAACCTTAAAGTTGATACTGCGTGAAACATTTTTAGTGAGGAAAGAAAATAAGAGAATAAAGAAATAAAGATTCTATAATTAAATTGAATTGTACAAATTGAATTACAAACTATGTCTATTTATATACACCTAACTTGTACACTAAGTAGACTAACAAACCCTAATTGGGCTTGGGCTTTGATTACTCAACTTGAATTATATATAATATAGCAACATACTCCATATAATCCAAGTTGTTGAACATACGCTAATCATAGTCAATATAAACTATTCCTAATTTCTTTCTCAAATTCATAAATATGTCGATCTTTAATCCTTTGGTGAAAATGTCGGCCAACTGTGCTTCACTTGAGAAATGTCTTACTTCAAGTTCACCTCAATTTACCTTCTCCCTCAAGAAGTGAAATATAGCTTCGATATGCTTACTCCTTTCATGCAAAACTGAATTCTTTGCAAGATTTATGTCTGACCTGTTGTTGATCTCTAGCACCCAAGGTTTCTTCACATCGACTTCTATTTCTTCAAGCACATATCTGATCCAAATTTCTTGACATGCATCATAGGATCCTGCTATATATTCAATCTCACACGATGGCAATGCCACAACATGTTGCTTTTTTTTAGTGCCATGAGATTGGGGCACCAAATACTTGAAAGAAATAATCAGTTGTGCTTCTTCGATCTTTCTTATCTCCACACCAACCAGCATCTGAATAGCAAGTAACTGTAGTTTCTTTGCTTTCAGAATCTTGTCGAAATATAATTCCATAGTTTATCGATCCTTTTAAGTATCTCATGATTTTTCTTACAACCTTCATGTGTGACACCCTTGGTTCACTCATGTATCTGCTCACTAATTCAACTGTGAAACCTATATCAGGTCGATTGTTGTATACATACCTTAGAGATCCAAAAATTTGTTTAAACAAAGTTAAATCGACTTTGTCTTCCTCTCCATGCTTCTCCAACTTCAAACTTGGTTCAAAAGGTGAAGATGCTAGAGTCGAATCATCCATCCTAAATCTCTTGAGTATCTCTTTGGCATACTTCTTTTGATGTAGCACAATTCCTTGCTTTGACATATGAAATTTCATGCCTAGAAAATAAGACAATTTTCCCAGATCCGACATTTCAAATTCCCTCATCATCAACTCTTTGAACTTCGACAAGTTCTCTAAGCTATTTCCAATTACCAGCAAATCATCGACATATAAACAAATTATTTTTATATTTTGTGCTACAACCTAAACATATACACCATACTCAAATTTGCATTTGACGAATTCCAATTCGACTAAGTATGAGTCAGTCTTCTTATTTCATGCCCTAGGTGCCTATTGTAGGCCATCGAGCGCTTTGTGTAACTTGTATACCTTACTCTATTCCTTATGAATCACAAACCCAGGAGGTTGTGTGACATAAACCTCTTCGTCTAAAAGATCATTCAGAAATGCTAACTTCACATCTAAGTGAAATGTCGACCAGCCTTGCTTGCATGTCAAGGCTACCACTAGTCGAAGAGTCTCTAATCTTGCGATAAGTGAAAATACTTTGGAGTAGTCTAGTCCTTCTCTCAGAAGAACTCCTAGAGCTACTAATTTCACCTTATATCTTGCTATCGACCCATCAACATTGTGTTTCAACTTGAACATCCACTTTATTTCCATAGCTTTTGTGTGTGCTAGAAATTTGACTAACTCCTAAGTGTTGTTTCTTTTGATTGTCTGTAACTCTTTAACCCTAACTAACTCCCTTTGTTTATTATTTAAAGTCTCACTATAGTTGATTGGTTCAGTACCTGCAAGTAAAGAAGAATGAACTAATTCTCCACCTGGTGTTACTTCATCATCACCAGTCATTTCATAGTCTTGAAGTCTTGTCGGACGAACTCTAGCTGTTTGAGGTCTTTGGCTTGTGCTAGCCGTCATATCCTATTTTTTACCCCTAATATGTTCATTCATAATACCATATGCATCTTTATCGTAAGTCATTCATTTATGTGAGACTTCTAGGGCATGAGATCAAAGGTACTCTTTGCATAAGGTTTTTCTTATGGATTGAGGTTGTTACCATCATAGAATTGATTCAACTAGTTCCATCATACATCATGGTTTGTGGGTTAGGGTTGTATGTTCATGGTTAATTGGAAATCTCTTTTTCATCAAGCTACGCGACTTTTCCTCTCTAAAATTCACCAATGTTTTGAATCTGGGTTTTCATTTATTGTGTTTCCACTGAGGTTCATTAAAGATGTTCTTCTATGCTCCAAGTATCATTTCCATCCCCGAGGGTTCTCTTGATTTGTTTGAAGACATGGTTTCTTTGAGAAATGAAGATTAATTCAGATTCTTGGCTTGGTTAAATTCATTGATTGAAGTCCAATGAATTTCATGCTTCAAGCCTTATCATCTTCAAATTTTTTCTCAAGACATTTATTTTAAGATCATTGGTTATCAATTTGAGATGTCTTGTTGAAACAAAACCGCAAAGCATAAATTGTGAAAGCAAGGTATGGAGTTGTAGATGCTTGATGAGCGAGGCATTCTTCCTATAGGAGTGAGATCATTTTTCTTTTGTTTGTCGAAGTGGAATTGGTTGCTCGATTGCAATTTAATTCGAATTTATAGACTTAAGCGAAAGAATTGTTCATGTTTAATTTCTTTGGAAACAAGTGACAAGATTTACAAAGCATAGTTCAAATTCAAATAGCAAGGCGTCTTCTTTCATTCAAAATGCCTTCAAGTGATTATTTTGGTTCAAACATGACAAGCAAATCAATATTTCAAGATTGCAAGATTCATTCATAATTCAAAAATCTCATTCAAGATTCATTCAAAGTAAACCAAGACATTTTGAAATAAAAGGTCAAGAAATTTTTTGATACATCCTAAACCTATGCTAAACTCATCCCAATCCTCAATCGGTGCCTTCCTTTTGCCTTTGTCATTTCTCAGTTTCCGAATATGTGCAACATAGGAAAACAGAGACAAACTAATCCAAGTTCAAAATCAGCGTCCTGCAACCTATCAAAACCTGCATCAGTTTATCACAAATCAAAAAAATCCAGAAAGAAATCCTAGCATAACTAACTGTTTCAGATTTAATCCTCACCATCTATTTCTCTAACCGACTTTCGAATCCAATGTCCAAGGAGACATTATCTCTAACAAATTTTGGAAATATATAACATAAATCTAACAGAAATTGGGGGGAGGATTCATTATACAGAAAACAAAAACTCATAGGGAAAAATGGGCCTCTAAATTATTCTCTGAAAAATTCCTCTGCAACTCTCAACCTTCATCGTCTTCCTCATTGCATATCAACCTTCAACAAACTTCACTCTCATCTCTTTAATTTCTCTCTACGAATCCATAACGACAACTGCAACAATCTTTATCACCAATTTCTCCTCCTCCAGTCTTCATCCTTAGCACCTTGACATCATCATCACCTTCGGTGAACAAAAACTTCGACATCAAATTGCAACAAACGCAAAACCAGACCCCATAGAGAGATAGCAGAAAAAGAAGATCGAAAGAAGAGTATCAAACGCGAAAGCTGAAGCATCATATTACCTCTGGTTTTTGTGAATTCGGCATCGCTCTGAAGAGCCTACGAAACTACTCCATTCGATTGTGCATCAGTGGAACGAGGCCGCATCGTAGTTGCATCGGAGAAGATGAGTCGTATGAAGATGGAGGTTGAACAAAGATGAAGACGGCGACTTCGTCCTTGACAATTCGTGAAGGTTGAACGGAAATCAATCAAAGATGAAATGAAGATGACAATAACTACGGTGGAAATCGATCGGAGATGAAGAAATGATGACAGCCACGACGGAGATCATGCGAAGAAGACGAAGAGAACAACATCATCGTGAATTAGAAGACGGAGCAAGGAGATCGATGCGCCGTTTGGATAATGAAGAAAGGATGAATCGCGTTTCTCGAAGAAGACGAAAGGTCGTTCACTTCAAAACCCTATCAACACTGAAAAACGGTATCGTTTCACCAAATTCAATGTTTATCCCTTTATTTACTTTTTTGTTTTTGAGAAATGCTGAAAATGTAAAAAATATGAATACAATGGCGATGGATTGGACTTGTTGTTCCTTGGACTGGATTTCATCTTGGCTAGGCCTGTTTGTCTTGCATTTTTGATATTGTGAAGCCTTGCACACATAAAAAAACTCCTCTTAGACTCAATATGGATGGGCCTAGCGCATGGACTCTCTGGTTACACATCTGGATTTGATCCTTACACCACCTTTTTTTTTGTTGTAATTTTCACTTTAATTTCTTAATTTTTGTAATTAATTGGTGATGATTCTTCCATGATTTTTGGCTGAAGCATTGTGTGTATAGTAGTATGTTAATCCCTGACGTGGTGGTATTTTTTTTCATAATTTTTATATTAGCTTAGGAGTTAATTAAATTAATCTTTGGTATGTGATTAGAATTAGGATTTTAATGTGTTCTAGTCGATTCCCTATCTTTGATCCAATTTTGGCATGGTGAGTGGTTTTAGTGGCAGTTCTAATCCATGATTGTTTGATTAATGGTTTACTTGCAGTTTAATAATCTGGATACATGTGCTTGATGCTTGTGTTGTGTGGTTGAGTGGAGAATCTCCTCTAGGATTTTCTTATTGCTTGCATGACTTTGAAGAGGCAATGAACCTTCTCTGTTAAGTATCATCTAAGCTCTCTTTACTTCCTCATTTTCTGCATCGTTTTCGATTAATCTTGCCATGAGAAGTAGGATAGAGATATCATGAATTGAAGTCATACGATGCAGGCATTGGTTAGCTTTTAAGCCATTTCTTTTGATATTTATATCCTTGTTTTTCCTTTGTATGTTCCCTTAGGTTCACTTGGTTCATCTTTGAACCAAGGTAGACATTAGGCTTTTAAACTATGCATACTAACAATAGGTAGTTTTCCCTTTTTGTTATCCTAACTCTAGGACCACAATTGCATGTCAACATTAGGACTTTAGTCTCCCTTAGTGTTGTACCCCAAAATTTGCCCTCCCATTTCTCATTGATCTCTCCTCACAAGGCTCTTGAAGCTCAAGACTCAGTTAGGGTTTCATCTGCTCAAGACCTCCCCTTGCACTGTGGACTCAGAATTAGGGTTTGTGTTTGCACAAAGTTGTTGACCCAAAGTGCCCAATATGACTTTCATGCTTCATATTGGACTCCCAAGATTATCCATACCAAGTTTCAAATCTTGATTCCAAGTTTTGCCCAGTCAATTGGACAGTTGACCTAGAAATCAACTGTATTAGGGAAAAAAAGTCAACTGTGGCCAATTGACAGTCAAATCTCATGAAATTTGATCCACATCAACATTATGAACTCATATGAACCATTTGATCAAGTTTGGATCACAATTCCACAAGAAATTTGATCAGATCACCAAAAGGGCAAAATGGTCATTTTTAGGGTTTTGACTGTACAAAGGCAATTTTTGACTGTTTGACCTAGCCAATGGCAAACCAAGCTCATATATGGACTCAATGACCCCATGGAATTATCTTGACATGTTCATCAAACTCAAAAGATCCCAAGTACACAAGATTGACAGTTGAATTTCCCAGTCAATTGATCAATTTTGACTGTATACTGAAAAGTCAAACTTTGACTTTTTGGTCAAAATCAAGAGTCAAGATTCATTTTTCATCAAAATATGCCAAATCATGAAACTTGTTCACCAAGAAATCACAAATTGCAAATTAGGGTTTGAAAATGGAATTTTTCATAACTTAGAATTTTTCTAAGTTATGAAAAACCCTAATTTTTTCCCAACTTTGCCCCATCTTTTCACCATGATCCATTTTGATTCAAACAAAAGTCAAAACATGAAAGTTGTAGATTGTTGCATAATCTACAACTTTGATTCACAAAGTTTTCTCATTTGAAGCTTGTATCTCAAGTTATAATTTTTTGAATAAGGGCACTAAACCATTTTTAACTTAGTAGAATTTTAACCTATTTTGACAAGGTTTTCTACCCCACTTCAAGGCCATTTTTCATACCCTTCCACTTGGAATTTCAATTTGCATTTCAAAGATGGATTGTAGTACACATTCCAAGCTTTCCAAAATGTCCAAGAACTTCTCAAACAACTTCATGGTTAGGGAGAATCGAATTTCACAATATAGCAAAAACTCACTTGTGAATTGGCCATTTTTCATGTTCATAAGATTATGCAACTTCTCAAAACCAGCATGCCCTTGATTACAGGTCCCTAAACCAAGTTACACTCATAAATTTAATGCATATTCTTTGTACCAAGACCAAGTTCTTTGAGTTCAAGCTTTGTCTAAAGGATTAATCCCAATTTGGAAAAAGTAAACTATCCATTTTTGCAAAAGTTCACTTTATGTCAAATTAGAAATCCAACAAGTACAAGCTAAATCTGAATGGCACAAGATTATGGACAAATTGCTCTGATCAAGAGAAGATTATGCAGCCCATTAGGAGGCCCCCTACAGGCCTAGAACATCAAGTGGCATTTTGTTGCTTAGAAAAGAAGAAAGGTCCATAACTTGTGAGAACTTGAACCTCAGCTTACAAACACAACACAAAAGATATCAAACACACTCAGTACATCCCAACCAAGCTTTTGCACGAATCCTTGACCTTTCAAACACTCCCATTGCCATAATCATTCTCAAACTGCAAAAACAGGGTTGCCTCTGCAGTTTGAGTGCAAACTCCCATTTCCCTCGAGCATTCTCACCAAAATCAATTCATACACCTTCCATACAACATATGCAAACTAACCATGGCCTAAAACCTGACCTGTAATCACTCTAACAGTTTCCACCATTTTTAATTTTTCCTTTTGCAGTTGAAGTTCCACAGCTCGATACAAGGAGTTTCAAGACAAAGTAAGCATTGGAAAAGCATCCCTAGACCTCAAGGAAGCTTTTCCAATCATCACCTTGCACTGAAAGTTCCTCATTCTCCAGATAGAAGTCCAACTGAATAGGTAAAAGTTTGAATTCGTATCTCTCTTATCATGCATATTTAGTCTTAAGTTTGTGAAGAAACAAGGTCCTACTCATAGCCCTGAACATGTACATAGCTTTACTTTTCATTTCTTTTGTCTGAGTAGAGAGAATTTGAGTTCTGAAAATGGTAGAAAAGTTAGGTCAGAAAAGAGGGGGAGAGAAATTCTCCCTCATCTTAGAGAGATAGTTCATGTTCTTTATATGTATGAAATCGTCTCTTCATGCTTAACATTTTTTGTGTTGGAAGTTTGCTGAAAAAATCAAAGAATCAGGATTTCAAACACAAGCTTGCAGGCGCGCGTTTTGTGATTCAGAGGTTGAAGAAGAAGTGGTTTGGGCTGGGCCTGAGCATTTTTTTCTTATTCACACCATCTTTTCTGTTTTGCACCCCCAAGCCCATTTGCTTTATTTTTAATGATTTTTGACATTTTCTTTTTTTATTTGATTCATTTATTTTTTCTCAGCATGTTAAAATTTTGAAAATATTTTTCTCATCATTTTTTGATTTTATTTGGTTTTTATTTGATTTTCTTTTTGATTTGTATATAAATAGATATATATTGTTATTTAAGATAAATAGAAAATGTGTAAAAAAAATACTTCTATTTGCATTTTTATTTTTATTTACCTTCTGAAAATATTTCACATAAAAAAATACTTTTTTTATTTATTTATTTATTTTATTAAAATATTAAGTAAATACTTATTTTGTATATAATACATATTTATAATATAAATATACATATATATATATATATTATTATACTTAGAATAAAAATGCCAAAAAATGTATATATTTTATTTTAATATTTAATACAAAAAATGACCTTTGTTCAAATGTACCATATTTTATTTTATTCTTGTATGTAAATAATAAATATTATGTGGATTAATTAATTAATATACATTTTGATTAAAACTAGGGTTTTGCCCTAAATATGAAAATACTCAAAAATAATATCTTTTTATTTTCTTATTTTTATCTTTACATAAATAATATTTTTTTTCATACATATAAAAACTTTCTTTTTGCATTTTGCATATTTATTTAATTTCTATTTAATTGTGCAATTTACTTACCTTGCAAATATCCAAAAATGATGTAATAATTTAGATTTAAATCCTTGTCTAATATCCCCCATTTGTAAATTTGTACCCCCCTCCCTATATTATTATGTTGTAATAGCGTAGGAATTTAAATTTCGCACTTTATACGCTTTCTAATTATGCCATGTTAGAATTAGGGTTTGCATGCGAAAAAACGATAAAAAATAGTTTGACCTAATACAAGATAGATGAGCATGAAAATAAACAACACTTCTCACACTTGCACCCCTAGGGTATTCCACTTTGTTGCCTTAAAATAATTGGGCCATGTTGTATGTTGAATTTCTTTGGGCAAAGCAAATAATTTGAATGATCATAGTCCCTCGATAAAACTTTTCAAAACAAACAAAAACAAATGATCAAAGTCCCTTAAAGAGAATTGCCCAAAGATATTTAACGCCGTTGCAATTATGGTCCAAACGATGACCCGCGCCTGTCCCTTTTCATCTCCTAAGACAAGATTGTCCACCAAATACAATGGTGGAACAAAATTGTCAAAAGGTTTAAAACATAATAAAAATCTTTGAGGAAATTTTTAGGGTAGATAAACTCTTAAGTACTTGCTAACTTTCCAAGAAAACACTTGCCTAATCTCAAAACCCACTTCACAAACACTTTCAAAACCAACTTTTCAAACCCTTGAAACATCTTTTTTAAAAGATAAAACACCTTTTGTAAAACATTCGAGTAAAGAATTGTTACAAGGTTAGCCTATACAAGGCATCTTTTCAAAACATTTTCAAAACCACACACACAAAGCACCATTTCAAACAATTGAAAACCAAGGCAAGTTGATCTAAGCAAGTACCTAAGAGCCCATGGATAACCATGGATAGAAGGGGTGCTAATACCTTCCCCTTCTATAATCTACTCCCCGAACCCAAGAAAAATCTCAAAGGTTTTTGCTGTGCTTTTTAAACCTTTCCTTAGGATAAAATAAAAAGTCGGTGGCGACTCTTGCTCAACCGAAACATTTGCGAAAACAAACGCAAAACACAAGTCAGTTCTCCCACCGTATCACAGAACTGGCGACT